CTAATTAGTAGTGATTAATCTAAGTTTTTAATATTAAACTAATAGAATATATATATCTCTTATATTAGTTTAATATTAAAAACTTAGATTAATCACTACTAATTAGGTTGCTAATAGCTAATTTGAATTAGAAAATAATATAATTATAAACACATAAAACCCTCTTGATATTTTTACGATTATAACATGCTTTTTAAAGAGTATTGATGGAAAATAGAGCTTTAATTAACGGTCAAATCAGCATAAGTTTCTAATACATATTTGCCAAACATAAATTTAGAAGAATAAGATATTATACATATATCAGATATAATACTACTACTCATTGATGAAGTCTTGTGCATTAGAACTTTTTCTTTAAGATAATAAGTTATTGGATATGCTTAATTAGCATTATCTATTAAGAAGGTAAGTAGTTTTGTATTTCTTCTTATCCCTCCCTTTTTTTTTCCCTCCTTGTGAAGGGTGATGGACTCATTACAAATTAGAATTAGGTAGAAGAATATTTTCTCCTCTTTTTTTTCACGTAAAAGGTGTTGATCTTATTGCAATTACCTGTCTTGGGAATATGAAGAGGCAATGTGATGGGAGGGAGACACAAATGCCATCCAAGTGGGGTTCATATTACATGACACTTGATGGAGAGCAACACCTAATTCATGGATGGCAACCTAACCACAAGTAGAAGTTATTCCATCCCCACCTAACATTTGGAAACATTTCATCATGTTGGAGAAGGTAGCAAAGCATTATGGGAGAAAGGTAAATGTTAAAGAATTTCCCCTTGAAAGTATAAAAAAATTACCCTTTTGAAGAGTAAAATTGTTATTTTTCATGTGATAAGACTTTTTTCTCGAGTAATATACATTTTTCATTGGAGCATTGCATAACATGCATTTTAGATGTTTATAGTAAGACCAAAAAAACTAGCTTATGTTCTCTCTTTAGAACAACGATAGTTAATCGACCGATTTAATATGATTTTATATATAATTTAACATCTCCTACGTCTTATCTAAAGCTAATGATGTAAATATCAATGGAGGAATTTTTGGAGACAAGAAAAAAAAAAAGATTAGTACAACAATTCCAATCATATGGTTTAGAGGTTGTGGAAAGAAAGAAAAAAATGATTGATCGACCTAACAGAATTTCTCTGAAAGATCATTACAAAATTCTCAAAATACAAATCCAAAGGAAATATGCCTTTAAATTTATCGTTAATGATAGTAATTAAAACATATAAATGTTGCTATAAAAATGCCCTATCATGGCACATTAGGGCCTTTTCTTTCATGCTATATGGACATGTTCTACTTCTTATCATACATTGTCCAACTAAGATCACTTGATCGCCGGATATCACTGATGGATCATGATAGATATTTCACCTTGATATTGATCCAAGAATAGAGCTACCATTTGAGACCAACACTGCCTCCCTTGTTATTATGTTTATGAATTCATTAGTTACTTATATCGAGTATCATCAACATAAATAAAATCGTCAATATCAAGTTCATACTCTTGTCCAATATTGATCATCAAACACCACCTCAGAAACACGTAGAAGCCGCATGGGTTGGTCCCACATTCACGACGAATCAGATATCGACAGGTTACGAGACAGCATGCACTATACCTCGCGGCATGAGAAGAGCTCAAAGTCCACCTTTTCGAAGTGACGCTACATAAGCGACACCCATCCGGCCGGCCTAACCTTCGGCCGAACCGCAGCAAGCAGCCACCAGCATTTTCTATCAAACAGTGCCGCTCCACGTATCGAAACGCGAATCATCTCCGCTCCCGGAGACGATTAAAACCGTCTACCGTGTTGCGGGCGGAGCAACTGATCACTCTAAGCTACGAAACAAAAGGCCTCTTCTTTTCCTCACGCAACGCCAGCTTCGGCGAGGGAGTCTGCAAACTGCAGAGATGAGAGACAGTCGCTGCGTCTCATCGAAAAACGTGCCTTCAGGGAATGGAAAGGGAAATGGCTTCTTCATATCCCTCTCCTTGTGAGCAGTCTCAGCAGTACCATCTCTCTCTTAATACTGTAGACTTATTGTCCGTCAGGGAGTGGGATGAAAGAGACAAGATATATATGCACATAAAGATGTGAATTGAAGGAAACGGAGAGGAGCAATGTGCAGATATTACTGCAGCTTTCCGGGCTACAGTATAAAGCAAACCACCGTCCCCTTTCTTCCACACGCGCTGCTTCTCAGCCCTTCTCCTTCTCATGCCTTGATCTCTTTCTGCTTCTCTTTACCACCTTCCATGGCTGCTCTCTTTCCTGGCAGCGGGAACAACAACAACAGCACCGACAAGTTAGACGCCGATGCGCTCTCTTGCTCCTCCGCCGCCGTCACTGGCAGCGCCGGCGATAACACGACCTACGTGCACGCCGACCCGGCCAACTTCCGAGCCTTGGTGCAGAGGCTGACCGGCCCCGCTGGAAACTACTCCTCCGTCCACAAGCTGCCTGTCGCGAGTCCCGCCGCCGCTCGGAACGTGGGGTCCAAGAGGCAGAAGCTTCAGGAGAGGAGGCGGGCCTCCACCAAACTCGAGATCGACATTGGCCATTCTCTCTACCGCGCGAGCTCGACGACTCGTTGCTACCGACCTCATCATCACCACTGTTCCAATACAACAGTAAGTCGGAGGAACGGAGACGAGGTAGGGCTGCTGCTATCTCCGATATCCACCATTGACTCTTGCTTGCTCGCCTCTTCTGCGAGTCCAACCACTGCCACCAAAGATGAAGAGGAAGATAGAGCGATCGCAGAGAAGGGGTTCTATCTGCACCCTTCTCCTGGGAGTTACAACGGCGATCCACCAAAGCTTCTCCCATTGTTCCCTCTCCATTCTCCTAAGAACTCCGTTTCTTCCTCGGAGTGATTGCCCCTTTTTTTTTTTCTTATTCTTATCGTTGCTGTCATCCAAGTTTAGTGATCTTCACGACTGTTCCAAGTGCAACAGAAGTCACAGAAGGAATCACGTCAAGAGTTGTGCTACGTTGCCTTAAGATGTGTGCTGAGTCTTGCTGTTTGGGTAATTCGGGCTGACTTGGCTTTGAGGGGAAAATGCCCAAATTATGATCTGACGAAACAATATGGGCCGGTGTTACCTGGTGGGTTTCGGGGTAGATTCATTTTTGATCTGGATCCGAATCCGACAAGGAATCACATGAATTAAACTTTATATGAAGAGGCAAAGTAATCATAAACTCGTCCACAATTAGCTGGTCACAGTGCAACTTAGTTGAATCCTATAAAGATGTTCTATACTGAACATCACAAGTCTATACGTTACAAGATTATGAATACTTCATCACATTTGTAATGGACTAGGAAATGTTATTTATGGATCGAAGTATACTAACCAAAACTGCTGAGTTGAAGTCTATGATGCATATGAATTATTGAATGAACAATGATAGATATCTATCATTCGATGCTCTAGCATGGTCACACACAAACTGTTTATAGCAAAGACGACATCAAAAGAATAAGATAACAGAACAAAATGAGATTTACAGTGGATTTTACCTGACGATTGGTTGTAGAAAATAATGCTTTAGACCTTCAGCAGGAGATTGTAGCAATGCCTTTTCCATCTAAGCTCGGTAGATTGGCAGTGGCGTCCACTTGAAATGCAAATTGAGTCTTCCAGATTTTGCCCCCTCCAAAGGGAAACTATCGCTATATTCTTTTTCCACTATTACCTTTGTCAATGTCAGAATACATCTGCCAATATAATCCTGAGATCACCAGAATGATCAATAAAATGATTGGTTAATAACTCTATTGTACAAATGCCAAAAAACAGACGAGAACCTCCATGTCATTTAGAAGTTTCCAAGTTATATACTCTGTAACGGCAATATTTATTAATCGATGAAAGAAGGTACCTTGCCAAATGTGTCATGATCCCAAACTTCCAAGATTAGCATGTCATGCAGCCCATCTTCCACGACAAAGTCAAATGTCTGGTCCCATATTGGATTCAAACTTTCATTCACAACCTGCATTTTGTCATATAATTATGAAGCCAAACTTGAAAGAAACAAAAGAATCAAATCTTATAGTCCAGGAAGTTACTCTTGTTTTGTTGTTGATTGTGCTCATTTTTTTCATACTAAGCACAACATATGGGTCCGACTTTCCACTCATATCCATGGCAGGCAAGTTATTTGCAGAAATGACAGTAACAGAAAGTACTCCTCTCAAAATAACATCTCGCTTCCTGTTTGTTGGTGTCCTGTGAATGTGACTGGCCTTAGTTCTACTCTTTCCAGATTTGAGAGCCTTCTCCAAAGAAGTCATAGAGAACTGATGAGCAAAAGGATTGACAATCTCATCCTCCATGTCATATGGGCAGTATAGAAGCTCAAGGTGAACCTGTATTAAGAAGTCACAAAATCAGATAGACATTAAGATTTCAGGAAAAAAAATATACACTTTAGTATTACATTGATGGCCTCAGTCTGGCTAGTTATTTAAAAGATTTTTTTCCAATAGTTATTTAAAAAAGGATGTTATGATCTAGTACTGCAGATGAAAATGAACTAGTGACATAACTCTTCACATAAACAGGCAAATAGTAGATGGAGTATCATGAGGCTTAACAAAGTGAAGATTACCCTCAATATATAATTCCACTCCATAATAAGTAGCACATAGCCAGGTACATAACAAGGTCCAATTGCTGTTTCCTTGATTTCCAACATTCAATATATGTAAAATTTTGCAATAGTAAAAGAAGTAAAAAAAACATGATAGTACTAATTTTCTTCTTTTGTAAAAAAAAATGAACTTAAGGGTACATCTGGAAAAATATAATAAGCAATATAAAGTCCACCATAATTGTCCAAGTTGTTGAAGAGTACAAACTATACCACCATAGGAAAGGATTTGTGCAGTAGAATGTAAACCTGACAACACTACTAATTATTCCTTTTATTTATTCTTTATCACCCTACAAATTAGTTGACTTCAGAGTGAATTGCATAATACCTACACTTCTCAATGATTTATTGTACTTAACTGTCCAAGTACAAAGAATGTCATAATTATGGAGTTCTACAATAGAGCAACATGAACTTTCAAATGATCTATAATTAAAGTGGCCAACGGACCTGACCCCGGTCTTTTTTGTCTCTTTGCACTTCCAAATCTTTGACAAGCTTCAACCAAATATCTTCTACTTTACCAGGTTGAAGGTCCTTCAATCTGACTCGAGCACAACCAATTAGTTCAGGTGGCCTGACCCCATCATCATCATAAATCTTTACTACCAAATTTTGTGTGGGTACATCTTCAACCACAAATTCGAAGTGCTCATTCCAGATAGGATTCAAATCATTGCTCTGTCAGAGTCATAACATTAATAGAGAACAAAAAAGCTTCAAAATTTAAAATAAGTTGTAGGAAGACTTACTATTACTTTGCTTATCTTCATTCTAGCACGTATTGGACGTATATACAGAACAGCAAATGGATCAGATTTTCCAATTATGTCTTTGTTTGTCAAATTTCTAGCTTGCACGAGCTTTACTTCCAATATTCCAACTGGTCTCAGTTCTAGGTCACTAGATAACATATAGGAAAAAAAAACCTTTGATTTACTCTGAAATATAACCAGACCATAGTTTTTGCTAAAATCATGGAAAAAATTATACTACCTGTAATCCCCAGGTAATATTGGAACAACTTTACGCACTGGCCATGATATAGAGTCTTCAATTGCATCATGAATTGTTTCCTGAATTAACCAAAGCATTACAAGTAAAAGAACAACTATGTATAAAGGAAATTGAGAATGTGAATAGGGTGGGGAACTCTGGAACCTCAATAGCATCAGAAATTCCAGGAATTGTTGATATTTCTCCACCAATAACCTTTAGCGTGAAATCCAGTTTTTTCTACAACCAAAGTATTATATATTTATTCTGCAAATAGTATACCAGTAACAAGTAACTAAGGATAAATATTGTACCTTATCTCTCAAAGAATAAGAAACAGCTCCAAAGCAGGGAAAGTGTTCAGTGAGCGGTTTAAATATTACACGGAAAACCCCTGTGAAGCTAATATCTTTTACCTACAATGAAGATTGGTTAGTTAGGATTCATCACTAGAAAATTTAATGATTCCACTCTTTGAAAATATTAAACAAGAAAACTCACAAGCATAATAATCTAACTCACAAGCATAATAATCTAACTCACAGAATAACAGGAGAAACTAGCAATAATATATTATAGCTCCTCAGGCTTCAGACATTTTAACACACATATTACAGAAGAAAAACAATTTAACATATGTTCTGTAGTCAATCCCGATTTCAAATCGATCTTGTGATCCATGAGTACATGATATTTATTACTTGTGTTAAAATGATTGACAGAAAATGTTATCCATATTTTATGTTTTTTAATTTAGTATTTTTATAATGGTTTGTTTTAAATCTTAAAAATATATTCTCAACTCAATTTTTGACCTCATCAATCCACTCCAACCAGTCTCTGGTCTCAATCGTCATTGGCAAATAAAGAACCATATATCAAAAGCAGAATATAGAGGATAAAACATGATGGTAAGTTTTGATCATGGAACTATATTGCCTTACTCTTTTATACAAGTACAAGAAACCATTAGGCTTTTTATGTGTGTACTTTTCAGATAAATATGGATGTCACTGATCATGATTACATTGGAGAGAAACGGATCATAAATAACCAACCAGCTGACTCAAACAAAAGAGTTCTTTGAGCCTTTGATGTACTAATTTCTTCGAACATCAGAATATATACACTTCCTGTATAGAATATATGAAAAGAATCACCTGTACAGGAAGCACAACACCAAGTTTTGTTCGAATATCAAGAACAATGTTTGGATTACCATCCCAATTCAAGTCCAACTCCATGGTAATCCCACACCCATCATCTTCGATTATTGTAACTCCTACGAAGAATGACATAATCATATATGTGTCTGTTAACTAACCACAATCAACTATAGAAGTATAAGAGAAAAAAAACATTTATTGAGAAAGAACACTTTGATGCCATCTAAAAGCTTATTCCCTTAATGGTTATCCCTCATGTTTGCTTTTCTGTTCCCGACTCTTGTAAAACTTAATGACTCTTGTTCACAGCCACCCTAAGAATCTTGTCAGGAATGTTACTTATGTTGGTCTCATTTGAATTAACTGTTGTCAACTTCTTACTTGTTTGGTGCAATGTTATATCTCTCTTCCGCACTCATTTCAACCAGCATACTCCAGAATTCTTACAATTTTAAATAAATATGCATTCTTAAACTCTGCATCTCATAATTCATGGAGCACATTCTATACTGAACAATTTCATCTCTTCAGTAAGTATCCACATAGTCTTTATAAAAGAAGAATACTTCCAGAATATCTGTTGTGTTTGTTATTCACATGTCTATGACCCTAGAAAGATACAAAGAGAAAGAAAAGTAAGGTTTTCTGCAATATGGTGATGACACCTTACTGACAGCAGTAAAGCCTATGCTCAAATCCTTATTGACTTTCCCAATGGATTTCTACACCATCTGTATTCAGCAAATACATTCATAAAATTGTCTGTTATACTGTTTATATTAGACATTCAACGATTAAACATATTTAGATAGAGTTTCTAATTTCTATAATATATAATCAACATGTTTCAGTTTAGTGATGCATTCAGCTATATAGACAGCTTTATTAAAAGAGTGATTTGTACACTGACTTACATGATTTAGACTAACCGTACCAACACAACCTGATATTTCAGAAAGGAATCTACGTTACTATAGTGATATACCATTTTTATACCAGTATATAGCACAGACTGGGTTTCAATTCCATTGCTTGATTAGTTGTAACTGTCTGTAATAGTTCCATCTATTTATCACACAATCTATAAGAGATCCCAGAGGTCCAGAGGATCGAGTGAGAACATCTGGGATTAAAGTAACAGAAATATATGCAACTCCATAAAGTATGAGATTGGATGTGTACAATATGATATGGATGTACAAGTCATTACACACTTCCAGTAAGCAATTTCCAAATACCTCTTTCAGGGGATAAATCGGCTTGAATCAGTCACAATATTAACAATGTCAACTATAAATAAAACAATTGACAAAGTTCTGCAATGGAAGTGGTTAATAATTTTGTAAGTGAAGTAATAAGTCGGAACAACATTATATAATCTTCTGTAACTCCAATATACAGCTTGAAGAATAAGAAAAACATATCATGTAAAAGGACCAATGGTTGGTTATAATTGCTTGAATACAATTTAAGTTTAATATGCATTCATTGCCATGTAGATTCTGCTTCAATGCTGCAGGATATCTTTGGTCAGTATATATAAGGCTTCTGAAAATCATGATTAATGAGGTGATCATCCAACCAGATATAAAATCTATCGAAAAATTGCATGATTTTTCAAACAAGTATTCACAAGGCACCACCTGTAAACTGGGGAGCAACAGTTCCAAGATTTAGTTTTGAAAACTTGAATGATGATAAGATGGCTGATTTATATTGTTCAAGAACTGGCTCAATAGAAGTCCGAATAATCTCAGATGCAGCCTGCAGCAACCACATAATGAAACAAGGTGGAAGTTATCCAGTTAAGAGCAGGACAGTTTCCATCCAAGAAAACCAACTGAAAACTATCAATGACAATGAGATGCTGTAGAGAAAAAAGCACAGAACCTCATTGACATAAGGCCAGATTTTAATCAGCTCATGGTTAAGCCATTTTAACTGAAAGAATAACACAGTATCATTATCCATTCAACCAAAGTTTCACAAGTCAAAGAGTAAAGCATATAAACAAAACATAATTTAATTACCTTCTGACGATGTGAGAAAATTACCCATGATGGATAAAATGCAGCTGGAAAAATCTTCCTTGAATCTTGAAATGACATCTTGCTAAAGCTCGCTACTGAAGCAGCCTTCACCAAAAATAAATGTTTTGCTAATTATGTAGGATTAGAAAATATATATGCACAACTGAACAGTATAACAAGCTCCCAAAATTATAGGCTTTGAGACATTAAAAATTACTATATGGTTTATTCATAACACAAAATTTTCAAGGAGAAACTTGCAACAACTTTTTTATTCATATAAGCGGAAACAACTAAAGAAGTTCCAGAAACATTAACTTACTCCTATATGTCCAAGGCCAAAGTAATAGAGTTTCAAATCAAAGAAAAAAAATGAATGTGATATAAGTAAACTGATATAATCACTATGTTATCGAGTATTATACCGACACCTAAATTAGAATTACAGATTCTTTCACTGAAAATGAGTAAGCTGAACATACTTGAGGCAACACTTCCCAGAAAATTTTCAGTCAAATAACTTCAAAAAATTAGCACCAGATCAACAATATAGTTTAATCAAATGATTGTAGTAAGACATCGTAACAGATTATTGTTCTTGTTGTGAAAAACTATTATTGTTTGATCTGAGGCCCAAGAAGACCTTAGTTTATACTACATTAGTTGACAGAGGACACTTACGTATAAAAGAAAAATCACTCATTTATAACAAACTTTAAGGACATCGCAAGTAATATTCAGTTATATATTTCCGATACAAATGGACTGTGTGCTTTGACTCTATATAAACCTTGTGTTGGCGGAAGCCTCATGCATGGCCACCACAATCCCCAATGCAGTGCAACGATGATCCTGCCACTAACATCATCAGAATCCCAAGTGCATGTTACCATTACGGCATCAAAATCCCTTACTATGTACAACTTGACAAGCTATAACTGTAACTCAACGGAGACACTTGTATTTACAGAGCTCGCTTGGTTCCTTGATCACCTAGTCAAGGCACCATGTTACGATAATTGAATACGACACGATGAACATCCTTCACCAACCAATGAAATTGGTCACAGATGGAGCATCTGTAATTACGGTTGATCCTAAACGATGATCAAAGAAACATTACACGATCAGGTAGCACTAGAAGAGGGGAAAAGCATAACAACAATCACCAACCTGCAGAAGCACAGGAAAAACAAGGCGGTATAGAAATTAGAACAAATGGAACCCAGACAACAAGGGAAAGGGAAAGGAATCACCAACTCGCGGCGGCGCTTGGACCGCGAGGTCTCCGATCGAGCAAAAGAGATCACCAGCCCAAGCCCAAACGCAATCCCTAGGACGATCCCGAGGAAGAAGGACATCCTTCTCTGGGACTCAGTCTACTGCAAACACCGAAGCAGAGCAAGAAAGGTTGAGATGGGATTGACGATGGCGAGGAGAAACGAGACCTAACTTGCTTTTCTTGTTCGAATTGGTCGCCACAGAGAACCGCCTTCCCTCGATTAAGACGTAATGATACTGTGGTAGCGAGAACGTTCGCCAGCTTCGATAGACCAAAAAGCGACTAGCGAATGTTTCTGTGAAACGCACGAGCGTTTCTTCGTTCGTTTCCGGCGTTTCCCCAAACGACATTTAAAAAATATTACTTATTTATTTTTTGTATTTTTATAGAAACGAATAAATTAAAATATATAACTAAATTCGAAAAATAAAAAATATATATGATAATTTTATTTTAAAAATATAATAATTATATAGTAGGGTCTAGAATTCTTTACCTTTAACCACTTGGTTGGAGAGTCCTAATTCACCAACCACCATGTTAAGGTATATAAATATTAATTAAATTTTGATAAGAAAAGTATCCATCTTCAATTAGAGCTTTAGAAGTGGCATAATAGTTAGACAAAAGAAAAAAAATCACAGCCATCAATCATGCCATGTCAGCATCAACATGATAGAAAAATATTTGTCCTATCTCATTTTCAATTTAACCTAAATCATTTTGAGAGTGACTTAATTATTGAAGTGACTACGTTGGAAACCCATCAAGATCACATCAAAAAACATCACCCAACATTGATATCATATGCATAGACACAGAATAGTCGAGCTAGCCCAAGTCAGATCAGAACCAAGTCACATCAATCAACCAGCCAGTCTCCCGCCATCTTTCTCTGTCAAAACTTAACTTTTGTACTTCCTTTTCATGAGAAACAAAAGAGATCGAGAGAGAGAGAGAGAGAGAGAGAGAGAGAGAGTGGAAACACTCCTCTCCTTGTTCAGTCTCTTCTCTAACTCTATTACTCAACATCTGATTCCACACACTGGGATATGCCTAGCGATTTGCATCATACGCCATAAGAGAGAGAATGGAAACTCTACTCTCCTTGTTTGGTCTCTACTCTCCCTCGGCCTGCACTTACCAGCTACTGTAACTCTTTGACTCTCCATGTGATCCCACACGCGGATATGCCTCGCGATTTGCACCATTCGCCATAAGATAGCTTGAGAATTGGAAGAGAGACTCCCATTCTCCCAAGATTTCTGCGACGTGAGAGTCGTGGCAAAAAAAAAGGCATAAATCTTGTCGCTGTAATCGAGAATGAGATAAGCTGGCCAATGAATCCCTTTTTGCGTACACGCAAAACGTGAGCACGTGGTTTACATACAATGGCTTTAGCCGACATGATCCATACTCGAAGACTGGGATCTAGCTAGAGCGATGTATGCCGATCCATCAGGAGCTGACCAACATCAATGGATACCATGAACTATCTCTCCTACTTCGCTCCTCTTTCTCTCCTCCTGTTTCTGCTCACATCTCTCGCTTTCTTCGATCAAGCTCTGTTCTACAATTTCCACAGCTTCCTTGCACCTTTAGGTAACGCCCATGAACCTCTCTCAGTGTCATCCTTGAGTTCCAGCTCTGTAACTGATCACGTGGAGCACCAAGTGCTCGGCATCAATAAACCTGAACTTGCTCACAGAGTAAGTGTAATCAAACACTGTATACTATCTATGATCTGTTGTAAGTTCAGGTGATCAACCAGCTGCCATGGACAGGTCAAACTGGGGACTGTTGAAGAAGGTCTTGCCAAGGCTCGAGCGGCCATTAAGAGGGCAGCGATATCTCGCAATCGCACTTTCAGCGAAGCCCAGGATTGGATACCCAGAGGAGCTGTGTACCGCAATGCTTATGCCTTCCACCAGTTGAGCGATTGCACTTGATGCTTGTAGGCGTAGAGACGCAATTCCATCGTAGCTTTTGTTTTGCTAGTGCAAGACAAGAAGAAGATAAAGTAGATTAATAGATCGATGAAGATGTCTTCTCTGCTGATACGACTGTGACGCAGGAGTTACATTGAGATGGAGAAGAGGTTCAAGGTGTGGATATACAAGGAAGGAGAGCCACCCATCGCCCATGACGGGCCGAGCAAGAATATCTACGCCATCGAAGGCCACTTCATCATCGAGATGGAGCGCGAGCGCAACCCCTTCGTAGCTCGCCATCCCGCCGATGCGCACGTCTTCTTCCTCCCATTCAGCGTAGTCAACATCGTGCACTTCCTCTACAAACCTAACGTCACCGATTACCGGGGACCCCTGAAACGACTGATAGCGGACTACGTCGCCGTCGTAGCTGATAGGTACCCTTACTGGAACAGAAGCCTCGGTGCCGACCATTTCATGGTCTCCTGCCATGACTGGGTAAGCCTTTCGAACACCCACTTCAGATGTTGTAATGTGGGTAACTGCAAACCCTATTTCCTGATGGGATCATTTAGGCTCCACACCTCTCGGATGCGAACTCTGACCTTTACGAGAACTCCATCCGGGTGATCTGCAACGCGAACACATCTGAAGGATTCAAGCTGGGAAAGGACGTGACGCTGCCGGAAGTGCATCTCCCCGGCGGCGAGCTCTCGCAGCCAGCTGCAAACCAGCTCCACAATGAAAAGACGATCCTCGCGTTCTTCGCTGGTGGCTCGCATGGATACATCAGAGAGATGCTGCTCCACCATTGGGAAGGGAAGGATGAGGAGGTGGTGGTGCACGAGTATCTACCCGAGGGAGTCAACTACGACGAGCTGATGAGCAAGAGCAAGTTCTGCCTCTGCCCCAGCGGGTACGAGGTGGCGAGCCCAAGGATCGTGGAGTCCATCTTCGTGGGATGTGTGCCTGTCACGATCTCTGTGGACTATCCACTTCCCTTCTCTGATGTGCTTGATTGGAGAAAGTTCTCTGTGCAGATACCGGTGGAGAAGATAGCGGAGATCAAGGCGATACTGAGAGCGATCCCGGAGAGTCGGTACAAGAAGTTGCAGAAGAGGGTGACGCAGGTGCAGCGGCATTTTGTGGTGAATCAGCCGGCGAAGAGATATGATATGATCCATATGGTGCTTCATTCGATATGGCTGAGAAGGCTAAATGTGAGGCTTCCTTATTGATATGGCACACATTTTGGTGAAGAAATAATTCGAGGCAATTAGTTCTTCCTCGAGTCAGCATGATATGAACTTTAGTTGTGAATTTTGGAAATTTTATACGTATCTTTTAATTAACGTCATTATATTTAAATAAATTTCCTAGCTAAATGACATGTACTGTTCATGTAATACAATACTCTTTTCTCTCTCTCTCTCTCTCTCTCTCTCTCTCTCTCTCACACACACACACACACACATATATATATATATATATATATATGGAAAAGATTTTACTAATAATTTCAGGATTACTTGCATTTTAAAATAACAAAGCTCCTAAAACCTAGTTTTTTTCGTGTGCCAATATATATTTGTCTCGTTAGATTTAAAAAAAAATCATTTAACAAACAAAGTTGATATTTTATTTTATTTTTTAATATCATATTTAAAAAAATAAATACCAATATATTTTTAGATAATTTTTTTAATATAATAATGATGTACAATAACCGCTTATAAGGGTTGAAGCTTCCAAAACATCGTTTTATAAATTTATAAAGATATCAATTAATTTAATTATCTTTGTAAATTTATCTTTCCTTAAGTTTTGATTTAACATATGCCATTGCACATTTTGCCATTGAGTAATGAATATAAATGGAAAACTCTTCTTTAGATCTAAGTTGTATCAAACTATTGTAAGCATAAAAGTTATAATATTTTATTATTATATAAAAGATTTTAATACTAAATTTTAAAATTAAATAAAATAATATATATCTAAATTTATGATGTGTATGTTTTGAAGAAAACTTTTATCTATTATGTAAGCATATAATCGTCAGATCCAAAAACTACAATGATGTCAATATATAAGAAGAATTAAATTTATTTTTTTTCTCTTTTTCTATGTTTTATATAAACATGAATTTAGGGATAAAGAGGAGATGAGAGAATATTTATAGTCTCTCAATCATGTCATGTATCTTAATTTATTTTTCTAAGTATCCGCATATTCAATTATTCACACATATAGTTCTTATGCGAGAGCATAATTAGCATCTTAATTATTTAATTATTCTCAATCATCTTAATTTCTTTTCATAGGAAAGAGCGTCATTAGCATAATCTAACCACTATGTCTTATCCATTTATGATATACTATATACATTTAAAATACTCCTTTTTGTTCACCCTTCAAAATATAAGATGTAGATCGAATTTAGGCTTTTACAACAACTAATCCAACAAACCAGTAAACATAAAAATATATATCATAATCTCATTCATTTAGATTGGGCCAATGCGTCATAACAAGACAGGGTTCAGGAAATAATTAACGTAGGACCCACGTTCAATGCGGGAAATAGCTAAGGACCAATATAAATGCTCTTTTTGATAAACCCTGTTCTGATTCAAGGTCCAAGATCCACGTGATCTACCCGGTTTCAATTAAGACTCCCGTTCCGAGCAAGTAGTTATAGTTCACTGGAACTCCATAAGCTAAGCTTTATATTTCGTTCTATTACTCTCCGTTGTATTCCGCCTCCGCCGCCGCCGCCTCCTCCTCCTCCTCCTCCTCCTCCTCCTCTTTTATTCTCCTGCTCCCCTACCAAGGTCGAAACCCTAACGAAACCCTAACCATGGCGGCGCGTGGTTTCCGTGGCGTGAAAGATGACCTCTCAGAGCTCGGCCGCTGCGTCCTCGACATCGCCTGCTTCCTAGGCCCCATAGCGCCCCCGCCTCGGCAGGAATCCCCCCCGTCATCGCCCCGCCTCGCCACGCCGCCACCGCCGCCGCAGAAGCCGCGGCCCTCCGCGAGGGCCCTGTCCGGGATCCTAAGCGACCTCGGCGACGACGGAGGCGTTTTCCGCAGCGACCCCTCTCGCCTCTCCCGGAGCTCACCCGATCGGGACCGGAGATCCACTGATCGGGCGGGTGGGGTGAGGACCATTAGGGTGTCGGCGGAGGTCCTGGAATTCGTTGGCCATATTATCAAGCGCCCAGAGTTGTGGCTGGACTTCCCGGTGTCTGTGGATGAAGGTGAATTCCCTATCTTCGTCTATGTATTGATTCCGATATGTTATCATGTCGTTTGATCACAATCTTACGTGTGATTCTCTGTCTTCCTTGAATTCTTGACTATTGCGAGGTTTCCCATTCAACATTATGTTCATGAATCGTTAGTTTGATGTGTTAGATAGGACATTCTTCCTTTCAGCTTTCTCTATTAGTTACAATCTTACCACTATGAGTGTGTTTGCGGCAGTCTTCATCAACTACCAACTTTTGTTGGTGACTAAGAGGTGAAATTTTATTGGCTTGCCAATATATGTACAGAACTGCACAAAGGTAATGATCTTCCAGTTAGTCTAGGTTACCTCAGAAATAAATTTTGCTGTTATTTTCTTTTAGGGTTAAAGACATGTTTAATTAGGAAAAATCACATTTTCATTGTAACTATAGTTACCTTCTTGTCTGATGTATGGATATGATTAAAATATATCAGCATTGTTGTCTATATTAACCTATAAGTTAAACTTATTCTTCTCTTGATGGATAGGCCACTATATCTTAGAAATCAGATCTGCTCAATTGGAAGATCCTAATTGATAACTTTCTGTCATGGCTTTCATGTTGTTTGTAAAATTTAATGTTGCAGTTCACTCATGAGATGGATTATTTTGTAATACTTTTATGTGTCCTTGATCATGCCCGACATACTAGTGGCATGACTGTGGTAGCCCTAGGTTAGCCACTGTAAGCTAATGATAAACTATGTAAATAAAAAGGTTGTTCTCAAACATATTTAGGATGAGAATATCCTAAACCAAAAAGCAAAATGTAGGTCAAGAAATGACTTAAATTCTTTGATTTTATCAAGTATAAAAAATAACTTAATTTCTTCATTAAAGATAATGATTTTGGCCATAAGAAACTCATGTATCTTCTCTAAACATCTAATACTACCCTGAAACACTTGAAAATAATAACATTTAAAGATCACACTTAATTTACTTGTTTATGTCTCGAACAAGAGACAACTTCACAAGATTAATATCTTTGGAAGTATTTGAAACATTGAAAGTTGAAATTGAAACCAATAAAATCCAGTCTTTATTATTTCAATGTAATCTTGATCCTAGTTAGATTCTAATGAACATCTATCAACTTTTTGTGTGAGGGGAATCTAGGTGTTTGTGTTTGATGTTTCAGATATGTGGACTTTAAGGTGTGTTGATCAATTTAATTCTTTTTCAATTTATAATCATTACATCTTAACTATAACGAACATTTTGGCACGATTGTTTTCCTTATTTTTTTTATTTTCCTTCAGTGATTGAGATTTATATCATACAGTCTAGGTGATGGAGAACCATCTTGCTTTATAAAAGATTTCAGAAGACTTTATTCTAGGCAAAGAAATTAGAAAAAAAAAGTCATTAATTAGTTGGCCGAGAAACTCCAAGATTTGTATTAAAAATTGAAGAGACTTTTACTCTTTCTAGGTGATAACCTTAGGACTCTACTTTTGTATTAAATGCACTCTTTTTCTTCTCAACTGTAATAAATTATCTTAAAATTGTTTAGATTTTCTATCATTCACATTTTGGGTTTCTAAAAGGTCTATAAGTTCCCTAGGAGGTTCCTCTTGGGGAATCATTGCTTACACTGATTGTATTAAGGCTCTTAAACCCCTATAAATAGTGGGGCTTGTCAATGGATCAAACATTTCGGATTTGCATAAAAAAAAATTGCATTTTCTATCTTCTAGTCTCTTTCTCTCATCTCTAATCTTTAATTTCTAATCTCACTCCTCTCTTATTCTCTATCTATTTCTCTACCTTGTTCTACATGAGTTTGGTATCAAAGCACATCAGGAAACCTGCCCTGTACTCCATTGAGCCCCAATTAATAGCAAAAGCTTCAATCAATCGTGATGCCACTCACATATCCTTATACTTCTAACGTCAATCCCTTGCATGTGGAGTTAGACTTTAGGGCGATTGTCATGGAATTGGTAGAATACTTAGCTCTTGGTGCTTAGTAATTTTTTAAAACTTCACCAATATTTTTGTTGAGAAAAGTATATTTCGTTAGATAGTGCTTTTCGTTGCTTCTTCTCCCCTTGTTTTCTTTTTTTTTCCTATTTATCAACCTCTCTCTCTCTCCTTTAACTACAACTATAGTAGCATTAAAATTTAAAACTTTGTAAGTTGTAAAAAAAAAGCCCAAAAGTGAGAGAAAAAAAAATAAGGGTGAGTTTTCTTTGACCTTGAACGCTACCAAAGCCTTTGCTGACATCAAAATAAGAATGACCATTGCTCTTGTTCTTAGGCACCCTGACGTTAGTAAACTCTTTGAGGTCATTTGTGATGCCTTTGCTATAAGCATATGAAGAATTCAAGTCAAGAGGGTCAGCCTATCGCCTTTGGAAGCGAGAAACTCAATTATACAAGACAACATTATTCTACCTGCATTAGAGAACTCTACACAAATGTGCAATGTCTTATGTATTGACGATATCATATTTTACCACAAGAGTTTATCTTGTTTTGAATGCTCGATATGCCAAGTGGATTAAGTCCCTCAATAAATATTTTTCTATAATTAAGCATTATTCTGATACTCAAAACAAGGTTGTCGATGCCCTTAGTTGAGTTTCTACGATCTTATCTACCATGAGTTTCAAGGTTATAGGATTCGAGCGATCAAAAGAAGAATATATCTAATGTACAGATTTTAGCCACATTTATCAAGAAATCCAAGATGGAAACTATTGTGAATATATGAACTTCACTGTTAGGGATGATTATTTTTTTTCGGTCTACTAAATTGTGTGTTCCCTGATCCTGCGTTTGAGATTTGTTTGGGAAATGCATGCAAGTGGATTAGCAGGTCAACTAGGTCGAGACATAGCCATTGCATTAGTCGAGGATAGATTTTACTCATCTTTCTTAAAATGAGATGTCGCTCGGGCAATGTCGCACTTGTCAAATTGCCAAAACTCGCAAACGCAATACTGACCTATATACCCCATTACCCATTCCATACTCACCATGACAAAATGTGGGTTTAGATTGTCCTTGGACTTCCTAAAACAGCCCATGACTATGACTCTATTTTGATCATTGTTGATTAATTTAAAAAATGACCCACTTTATCCGATGTAATAAGACCAACGATGCTTCACACATTGCTAAATTGTTCTTTCGAGAAGTGATTAAGCTACATGGATTACCCTCAACCATAATGTCCAACAGGGATGTGAAAATTGTTAACTATTTTTGAAAAACTTGTGGAAACTACTTGGCACAATATTGAAATTCTCTTCAGCCTTTCACCTCTAGACTAATGGTTAAACTGAGTTGTTAATCGTTCATTGGGAAATCTTCTTAGATGTTTAGTTGAGAGAAACTAAAAAATTGAGACTTAACCGTATCCACGACAAAGTATGTATATAGTAACTCAATCAACCGGCTAGACTCCTCGCACACCTATTGACCTTGCACCCCTTCCACTTGATTATTATGCCTTAGAACTAGCCCACTCCTTCACTCAACATATCCATGATTTGTATGTTGAGATTCAATGTAAAATTGCTCTAAGTGATAAAAGTTACAAACTTGCTACTAATGCACATTGTAGGAGTCAAGAGTTCCAAATTAGTGATTATATCTTGGTTCACATTTGCCTTAAGAGATTCCCCAAAAACTCATACAAGAAGTTGTATGCCCGAGCTATTTGTCCTTTCCCTATTATCCAAAAACTGGGATTTAATGCATGTGTGCTTCATTTGCCTTTCGACTTAAATATTAGTTCAGTTTTCAATATGAAGGATTTAACTCCATATTATGGTACTTTTGAGCTTCCTCCTCTATCTACTAGTGATCTTGCATGTGATAATCCTCGTAAAGCACAGACTCTCACAACTCATGGATGACGTAGAGATCATCCTTGATCAAGGTTTGACGTACCGAAACGTACCACTCGGTACGGGTGGTATATATTAGTCCGACAGAAGACCAGTATGGGCGGTACATTGGTATACCCTAGTATACTATGTGTTGGTCACTCGATACAACTCGATATAGTTTGATATGTATCGTACTGATAACTGGTCAGTACACCGGTATGGAACTGTAATATGAACCATGTCTTTGATGACTACCCTGTTTCGTCTGCTACTAGCATCATGAAACACTTTCTTTTCAAGTGGTATGATTGTCCAACTTCTGATGCCACTCGGATTATTTTGGAGAAACTTCATGACTTTGCACTAAACTTGTTGGATTATCACTCTTTGGGATCATGTTCTTTCCATCAAGAGAGAATGATGGAGAACCATCCAGTTTTATAAAGGATTTCAGATGAGTTTATTCTAGGCAAAGAAATCAACAAAAATGCCATCAATTAGTTGGCTTAGAAACTCCAAGAGTTGTATGGAAAATTAAAGAGCTTTTTGTTCTTTCTAAATGTGAACCTTGAGGCTCTACATTTGTATTAAGTGCACTATTTTTCTTCTCAGTTGGGTTAAATTTTCTTAAAGCTATTTAGGTTTTCTGGAAGTCTTTTAGGTTTTTTGGAAGTCACATTTTGGATTTTTAAAGGGCATGCAAGTTCCGTAGGAGGTAACTCTTGGGAAACATTGCCTACATTGATTTTATTAAGACTCTTAAACCCCAGAAATAGTGGGGCTTGTCAATGGATCAAACACTTAAGATTTAAATGAAAACCTTGCATCTTCTTACTCTTCTAGTCCCTTACTCTCCTCTCTAATCTCACTTCTCTCTTCCTATCTTGCTCTCTTGCTTTCTTTCTACTTCTCTCTACTTTGTTCTACATCACTAGGGGTATGACATTTGATGGTTGCTCAACATGCCAGTGAAATTCCACTATAGGTATCTTGGTAACAACAAAAGAGGCCATAGATTAAAGATAATGCGGAAAGAAAAGGAAAATAAAAAATCCACTGTTATTTTGTGTTATTGGTGGTTGATGTTTTTGGCCATCTTCTCACTGCTAACTGATTACCCCTGACTTCTTGTAGGCATAAAGGTATCATTTCAGTTTCTCTGACATCCTAGGAAAGGAGGCACTGAAGGGGGGGATTCGAAAAAAAAAATTCTAACATCACTTGTTGTCATTTACTTTTCCATCATCATTTCCTGTATGCCTAGGATGCACTGCAATGTTGTTAAGGAAACGTTGAAAATGGGGATCAGTAGGAAAAATATAAATTTCAATTTGAGTTGTAGTTTTGGATGGACTGGGCTCAAGCTATAAAATTACCATTAAACCTAGGAAAAAATATGTTCCTACTTTGGTAACCCAATTAGAAGGAAGTTAATAATGTTGTTTGGAAGCACATGCTACCTTGTATGATGACAAATTAAATTATTGTTGATTGCAGTATGCCATTTGCATTTAGGTTCCAAGTCTTGGTAAGGCAACAAAGCCTGAGCAGTTCATACTTATCTATAAAATATACATTTTATTAACATCAATCTTCAATTCCACCTTTAATTTAGTATCTGGGGATCCGAAACTAGAAGATCATTTTCTTTTTCTCCTAGGACTTATGTTCAGCATATATCAATATTCTAAATAATACATTTTTCTTTCAAGTATTCTTTTTTCTTGGAAATATAATAGCATATCATAGTTCTTTGTTAAAAAAAAGTTATAGATGGTAACATTTAAACGTATTTAACATAGCAGTGACTTGGGTTTCAAAAATAAATTATCAAAATCATATGGATCATGTAAAGGCTGAACTCAAAATCGCCGCTCATGTTTTCTATTGTTGAGAAACTATACTAGATTCTAAGATATTTTTCCTCTTAATACATTCTTCAATTGATCCCGTCTTAATTTAAATTTAGTCTCTTCATTAAATATTTTTTTTTCACATGTTAAAAAACTTTGCAATATTATTTTAGTTTTAGTGCTCATATCCAAGATTTCAAAGTATTCCAGGATGTACAGAAACTGCATAAGGATGTAGTAGCTTACTTGACTACAAAAGATGGAAAGAAACAATTTGCTATAACTGCAAAAATCATTACCTATCTACTTCTGTTTATTAACAATGCTGATGTTTTTGTTTGCTGGTTGACTACCAACGAAAGTGATAGCTGAAGTTGTTCAAATTTTGCAGAGTTTCATATGTCTCACACTCAAAGAGAGCATGTTTCTACTGTTGAGGACTGCATTCCTGATTTATTATCTCTTCGAATAAGCCTTTGTCCCACCTACATGAGTGAGGAATCCTTTTGGAGGATATACTTTGCATTATTGCATCCCAGGCTGAGCAAACATGACTCTGAACTGTTAGCAACTCATCGGGTAAGAGATTTAATTCATAATACAGATGAAATTATATTAGTTTTTGAATGGCGGTTCAACTGTTACATTTTTACAGTTGCTGATACATTAGTCCAACCATGTATTGTTAACAGCCTTGTCCTCTTCCCAGTTTACAAGGTCATTCCTCTGTGTGATATGCCTAGCGGACCTCAACTGAAAGCCTAATTTTTCACAATTGTCACTGACCTGATGATATATTCTTTAGATGTTTAGACAAACATGCTTGTACTTTGATAATTTGATTTCTTTGGGCTCCTGAGAAAAGATGAATTGGATTATTGACACCCTTCCAAGCAAGAATTTGCTCCTTTTCTGAATGACCTGTTTTGTGAATGCTTAAATTCTTGAACTTAGCTTAGCGATAGACATCTCGTACTGTCCACCTTGGTTTTCCCTAATAAATGCTCCATGACAAGCACCATATTGTAACAAATTACTTGTTAGTTTTGGGCCTTTGGTGTATTTCCTTTCTATTATCTTACTGCACTCATCACAGATTTTTGACTCATTTTGCACAATGGAAAAGGAGAGACACAGTGGGTTAGTTACTCGATGGCAGAACCTCTACTCGGAGAGCATATCCTCGTTGAAAAGTGAAACATGTGTCAGCATCCAGCAAGAGGACATTAATGAAACATGGGAAGATGCATCGATCACCAGGACAGGATCACAACAAAGCATATATCAGTGGTGTGAGGTACCCGAAGCAAAAAACACTCCTACTGATGCAACAAGACTTGGATTCAATGATATTTCAGTTGACGCCAGTGAGGGTAATGTTTTCGTGATGGTGAATCACATGGACTCATTCTTGGCAGCAGAACAGGTGGTGCATTCGCCTTGTTCCTCGAGAAGGAAACATGTTTCTTCTGGTGAGGAAGAAATGGCGAAATCAAAGATGCCCTCAGATGAGGAATATGATGATTGGCAGGCGGTTGAAGATTCAGACTTCGTAAGTCTAAAAATTCTTTAGTTGACAAAATTACTGAGAGTTTCCACTTCGTACATAATTTTCCTTTTCTTTTTTTTTTTCTCTTCATAAAGAAAATTTTCATGCTCATACTGCTGCTAAGCTTTCATAAGAACTTTTACACAAAGTTCATTGCTGTATATTTTTCTGTAACTAGTTATTCTTTTATCAGATTAACTTTAGTTTGATCACATACTTCTTGCACTCAACTCTGATGTTATTTTAAATTATCTTCACGTTGCAGACTACATTTAGTTCACCAAATATACTCAGGTAAGTGTAGGTGTTCTTCTGCACGTAACATTCAGATCTGCATCACCACTTCGTTTTATGTTACAGCAACTTTGATATCCCTAGTTTCACTGCCCTGTGTGACAGTATCCAAATTGAAAGCAGGTGGTAGAAATTACATCTCGTTAATGATAACATTAGATACTCTTGCTTGATCAGGACTACTAGTGTTTCTTCATGGAATCCTGACCAATTCAGTTCATCAAAAGCTCCATTATTATTATTTGATTATTACATCAATATCCTCATCCCAAGTTGGTTTGCAAACATGTCCCATGTTGCATTCCAAGGTTTTGCACTCGGTGTTATGCTCTTTTCTTGAATTATCAATGTGGGTTTCAGGACTTTCACATCCACTTATCGATATAGACTTGCCCTGCAAATTCATTCAATTCAATCCCAAACCACCTTCCAGACAATCAATCTTAGGTTCCTCATGTGAGGAATATTTGATAATACCATATGGGTAAATCCTTGATGGCTATAGTCGATTAGAGTCCAAATGTCATAATAAAAGGGACCTCCTCTTTGTGTGTGCTGATAACCATCTCTCTCTATCTCGAAGGGATCTCATCGGACACAACCGATAATAGTTTCGTATATGCTTGGCATTTTGAGCTTAGATATCTCAAAAAAACAACTTCGATCGCCACCTGTTGGTCAACAAAAGTACCGTAATCGATGAGTTAGCACGGTTAGGCCCACGTGCCGACGTCGGGAACTTCTAGTAGAACGCGAGGGTTGAAACGACAGGACCGGACTAGTCCTCTCTAGCGGCTGAGGGGTGGCTCTCCAAGGTCCGCCGACCCTGAGCTCAGTTTGAGGGAAGATGCGTCCTCTCGTCGCTAGGATAGATGGCGATCTTCCTTACCACGCAGGCTCCTTCGGGAGACGAGACTAGCACCGGTCGGGGTCCGAGCCACTGGACCTCCCTCCTCTGCGTGTTGAGAGACGACTTCAGGGTGAAGGCTCTCGCGGCTCGATGACGATCTCTACCTTGCAAAACGGTCTTCGTCGGGTGGATCCCAACTTTGCCCCTCCGACGATCAAGTTAGATGGGTGTGGATTTCCCCTCCCTTTCCTTGGGATCGACCGGAGATATATATACCTGCGTGCGAGAGTCTATTGCGCCCTCGTTCTCCCTGGCCGCTGACCCTCCTGGGGGCGGGATATCCCCTTTGACAAGATGGCGTCTCTGGGGGGGGGGGGGGGGGGGGGGGGGGGGGTGTGCCTCTGCGGTGTCGGACGACACCGTCACAAAGCAGACGACACCACCCCAAGCTCTCGGGGTGGTCAGGTCACATAATTGTATGATTGAAACTTGACGTGACGTGCACCTCATGATTCCGGTAGCATACTACATTGCATTCATGACTGCTAGTTTATGATGTTTGTGATCTAGGGTCAAAATATGCCCTATCACCACCTTAATAGTCTAGCTTGAAAATTGGATCATATTGGATCAAACTCAGCATCTCGAACTTGTCTTGTCATTTCTTATTCTAGAAGAACTTCATTCCACTTGAACTTTTGTGTAGGTTGCATTGAACGCAACAACAAAATTAGATTTCAATAGTTGTAGTCTTTTTACATAAAATAGCAATATAAAGGTCCAACTTGTGTATCTCTTGAAGCGATTAGGGAGACTATACTTCTCTGTGTGTGCATTTGGAAGCGTATTTGAAATATGCACGGAGGGCTCAATGCATATTTTAAATGTAAATTATGTTTGATATTTTTTTTAAAACCGTATTTGACTTGAATGCTGCATTGAAAAATGCTCAAATATAATATTTCAAAATTAACATTTCAGCATTTGTATGATGTTAATATAATTTTTAAATTTTGATTGTATGCTTATGACTTTATCTAACATGCTAAGATTGTCAAAATGATTTATTGAAAAAATAACATGATTTATATATTTATAAAATAAAACTTTATTTATTTATTTTTTAAAAATATATTTATTTATATGATTATATTTTTATTTATTATATATTTGGGCCATATAAAAATTTCTATAACATTACATTTATTTATTTAAATAATTTTTTAAAATAAATCTGTATTTTTTTAAAATAAATATTTAAAAATTAAAATAATAAATTTATCATAAAATATTCAATAATCTCTTGAGATATAATTTTATCTAACAAAACTTACATTAATGCATATTTAAAATATAATTTTCATATATTATTTATCAAATACCTAAAGTATTTCGTAACTATATATTTATTCAAATCTTTTTTTTTCTCCGGTTATACATTAGAAATGTACATGTGTTAGTTACTTTTAGCAGCTCAATTTTTATATTTTAAAAAATTATATTAACATCCTTATAGTTACAAGAGTAAAACATCTAGATCAATTTATCCTAACGTTATCAGTCTTACCAATAAAAACACGAAAACAAAAGATAAAAAGATAATTTTAACATTCCAATTGGTTGTGATGCCACTAGGTGTCGTGAGTAGTTGTGTGAATGAGGAGAATGACAACGAGAGGTGAGAGCTACTGTGTATTCGCATTGACGTCAATATAGTTATTGAGCGATTCTTACCTTTTATCGTTGTTCTTCTCATCCATAACAATCACACATGACTACTAGAAATCTCATCGTTTATCACCATTAATTAAAACATTAAAATTATCTTTTTATCATTTATTTTTATGTTTTCATTGATAAAATGGACGTCGGGAAATATACTTAGATGTTTTACATATACTAATGTAATTTTTTAAAATATAAAAATTAAAATACTAAAGATAACTGATTAGATAAAATAATATGTAATTAGTCCATTTTAAAGGCAGCATCTCTCTCTCGAGTTTTATCTTATGGTATGCATGAAGATAGTTGCAGCAGTCAACCAGTATCAGTTGGTCAGCTTTGTTCAGGGCTATAATGGATGTCCTGAAAGAGTACAAACCTTGACCTAATGAATGCCGCCAGAGTGATGGCAACCAAATCAAACGCTGTAGCCCAAACATATCATCATTTCCCTCAGAGCAAACTCAAGCAGAAAGTTTAAAACGTTACACCAATCAAGGACCAAAAATTATTTTTTAGTGGTAACTTTTGGTCCAAAATTCTGGGTGGTCAACTATCAGGGAAGAATTGAGAAGATGGCTAATGCATCTGAACCAATTCTCATATAATCAATCAAACTCGAATGATGATCTACACAATGGATGCCTGCGGTATGCAAAATCTGATACTTCATTCTCAAACCAAAAGTCAATTGAAGGTTAAAGTTTCTCAATAAAATATAAAGCAGAGCTAATAAATGTGAAAACTGCACACAACTGATTTGATAGTTAGAGAGGTTCAAACATATACAATAGAATTTGATTTGCAATTTAGGCCGCTACCAGGTCAGAATCATAAAATGATTAGTGTTAGTGCATGTCAAGTAAACAATATCTGTCTACAAAATCTTCAAGCTAAGTTAACTAAATATCAGAGAAGAATCCAGAACAAGAAAGTGGAAACTACAGGGCCACACCCTTGCAACAGGCACCATACTGATGATCCTATAATTAAGTCAGAGAGTTGATGGTGTTTTAAGTATCAACCTTCAGAGTTACATATGCTTTCACATATCACCTCTGTTCTACGATAGACTTGTTGACAAAGTCATCCATTGTCTTCAAAACTCTTTGTTCAGCTTTGTCCTGATTCAGTTCAGGAGACTGCTGCAGCTTCTTTCAGATTTTGAGTGCCTAAACCACCATTAATTCACATACAACTCATATGGAACATTTCATGTTCTTGAGGGTGCTTTCCAGCTTTTCCAGCGGGGACAAACTATATATGCTTTCCTGTATAGATATATTCACAAATCGTTCAGCTTCATCCTGATTCAATTCAGCAGACTGCTGGTACTTCTTTCCAGTTTTGAGTGTGTGTTAACCACCATTAAATCACATACAACTCATATGGAACATTTCAATTTCTTGAGGGTGATTTCCAGCTTATCCAGTGGACACAAACTGTATTTGCTTCCCTGTATAGATATTCACTTGGGAGTCAGGACTCGTAGCTTGTAACATAGAAAGAAGGAACTTCACATTGGAGTAATGAGTATATATATACAAATAATGCAATTGATTAGTACATGAGTCACAACCTGCACAATCATAGTCGGCGTCTTTAGCTGCAACAAAGTCTAGCACGTACTGCTCCGCCGATGCCCTAGATCACAAAAAGAAATGCTGAAAGACATGAATAATGATTTTTGGGCACAGTATTCACTCGTCAACTTGTATTACCATCATATACAATTTCCATCAGACTTGGTGAAATTTTTTTGAATGAGTAGATAAGCATAAAATCAAAATTTCTGGTTGTCTTCAACTTGAGTATTTGATAAAGATCATTCCAAAACGAAACAATTTTTTTTGTAGGATGAGTCATCTGCTGCAACTGCAACATCGAGGAACCAGCTAATCAATGTGGCAGATAGATATAATACGAAAACTGGAGTTTAATACTGCCAACTAACTTTGAAAGACGAGGACAAAAAATAGCAGTCATATTGCAAGCTATCATCACAAGTTGCGATAGCTGATCTGATTCTTTATCGTAGAAGCTACCTTGGACTTGAGGAAGTCACACATTCTTACAAGGTTTAAAAAGTTGCAATAAAATTGCACCATTAACCTAACAATTCTGCAGATTAACCTATATTAGAATGCAAAAAACAACAGAACAAAATGGGACCATCGAAATTGAAATTTAACAACCATGAACATACCAGAAAGTTGTCACCTTAATTGGACTCTTGTGAGAGTGAGCTGAGAGAAACTGTGGGCAGGTACCTACAGACTGTCCAATAATCAGACTGAATTTTATTAACAAAACTAGGAAATATAATTACGGCCATTAATTTTATATGAGAACTGCATAAAGACTATACCTTCATACCAACAAAATAAGCTCCAAGATCTAATAATGCACGTAAAACAATCACCTAGAACCTCCTCACATGCCTTGCATATTAACATGTTTGCTCTAAGTACTCCATAAACTGCAGGATGACAAAGGGGAAAAGGGTGGTTCTTTAAGAGCGATAAATTATCTGTCCCAGTGGGTGAATAACGGTCTTCTAGCCAGAATAGCCTGAAATAAATGCAGGAACCGAAGAAACTGCTGTTCGTAACATCTCTCATAATTTAATAAAAGAGGGTATGTCATCTGGCTGCTGTACTCCAAAGAACTACATGTCATATGGCACCTGAACGGTGAAAAGTAAGCATCAGACCATAAAATTGAACCCATCCTTATCAGCTGTGACTGGCAACAAGTCTAAGAATTTGTCAAGTTGACCAAACCGGCAAACATACTCAAGAAAGAGAGATACAATAACAGTAGATGGAGCAGTGCCACTCAAAACGATTCCATGAAGCAGCATAATTGCTTCCTCAATCTCACCTCTTATGCAAAATCCCTGCAGAATTATAGAATAAACTATGAAATTTGCTTGAAACCCCCTTTTTCTCATCCTCAAAATTATACTTTTTGCTCTCTGTAATTGCATACCCTTACTGTATGAATGAAGCATGCATAAATACATTATTGCATCAGGTTCTGTCTCATTATCTTCCACATGATGCAGAATATTTTCTGCATCCTGGAACCTTCCTGCACGACACATCCCATTCAAAAGTATGCTATAACTGATGACATCAGGTTCTATTTGTTTACCAGCCATCTCTTCTACCAGATGCAAAACACGTACAAGATCTCCCACCTTAACTAAACCAGCCATTAGGGTATTATAAGTAACAACATTTGCTCTTAGACCCTGTCTTTCCATGTCAGATAATAAGTTGTATGCAGTGTCAGTTTTTCCAACCTTACAGAAGCCATCAATCAAGGTGTTATACATAATCACATCAGGCTTGGAGCCCTTCTGCATGATCTCCTCAAGTAGTCTACTAGCTTCATCCACAAAACCTTTTTTACAAAATCCAGATATTAAAGTATTATAAGCAACAATATTATCCCCAAACCCTTGCCTTTGAAATCTGCGAAAGAACTGCATTGCTTCTTCAAGTTTCCCTGATTTACATAACCCATCCAACAACGTACAGTAAGTAAACTCATTAGGATCTATTCCTTGTTGACCCATTTCATCTAGCAGTCTCGATGCCTCTTCTACTCTCCCTTTTTTACAGAGTTCTCCTAGCACTGCAGTGTATGTAACCACATTCGGGGCAACACCAAGGTGGACCATGTATCGCATAGTTTTTTTTGCATCATCAATCTGCCCATGAGAACACAGCCCATGAATTAAGGCAGTATACGTCATAACATTCGGACGTATCCCCATCTCAGACATCTCTATAAAAACTATTTTTGCTTCTTCTATTTCCCCCTCCCGGCACAACCCACTGATAAAACCAGTAAATGACACTACATTTCCCTTAATCCCCAACTTAGTCATTCTGGCATAAAGGATCCTCGAACCTTTCATTCGTCCCTCTTTACAAAGCCCAGAGAGCGCACAGTTGTATGCTGCCGCACTTGGAACCAACCCAATTCCCAACATTTCGCCAATCAACCGCAAACCCAGCGAAGAGTTCGAAGACCCACAGGCAGAATCTATCAAAATTGAATATGTCCGATCGTTTGGTCTTGGCCCAGTCTCCCACATCGCATTTAGAAAACGCAACGCATCAAAGATCCGACCTTTCTTGCAGTAAGCTTTGATCAAAGTGTTGCAAGAGATCACATTGGGCGAACACTTCCAGAACTCGAACTGATCGAACACTTGGCATACTAGATCAAGGCGACCGGATTCGCAGTGGCAATTCATCAGTAAGGTGAGGGTCAGGACGTCGGGAGGCACGCCCGACTGGCACATGGAGCGGAAGAGGGGGATGGCGAGATCGAATCGGCGGGACTTATTCAGGGCACAGAGGACGAGGTTGAAGGAACGGGTCGGCGGCGGATTGGAGCAGGGCGCGGAAACTGATTCGATGAGGAGGGCGACGGCGCCGTCGATCATACCGGAGCCGACGAGGGACATGAGACAGGATTCGAAGGACGGAGGGGAGGGGTGGACGGGAGCGGCAGGCGACGGGGGATTGACCGAGGGGGAGACGGAGAAGCGGTTAATGGCGACGGCGCGGTGAGCTCTTCGCCATGGTAAGAGCAGCATAGGGTTTGGTGGGAACGGCTAACCATGAGAGCCTTTGGTAATTGGATACGTGGAAACGATACACATTAATTTTGGTTATAAACAAGTCATTATATACACGACGTAATAAAATCAATTTTATATTTTATTAAATAATATTTTTTTACATATATTATAACTTTACCGTTCGAAATAACAAACTTTATTTTACTGCCTCTTTTATTTATTTTATCTTTTTTTTATGCTTGTTTCGACCAACTTAAATCATTCAAAACTACATAAAACTAAAAGGTAAAAATAAAATCCAATTTTATTTACAAAATAGTAAAAGGTTATTAAATAACTCGAAATATCATATAAAATAAAAAAATTTATGTTTCCGATAATATTTCAACGCACATAAATATATTAAACTTTGTTAGCTTTTCTAAAAATTTGAGATCATTTTGAATAGTACATCTATGCCATGCACTGTTTTTTTATTTTTTCCTCAATAATAGAGTATCACTTATGAGGAAATTTTTTCTCAAAAGCCAAAATTTTTAAGTATATTATGGATCTCTTTAGAAGCTTAAATATAAAAAAAATTATATGGATGAATTATAATTTTTAGAAATAAAAGAAACAAGGCAAAAATTGAAAAATGACATGTAGTTTAGATGCTCAAAATTCCATAAAAATACTAAAAAAAATTAAGATGAAAAATAAATGACTTATGTCTATAAATATCCTATTTAAAGCTCGTCTAAAAATTTAAGATTATTTTGAACAATGCATCTATGTGATATTATTTTTTTATTTTTTTTCAAAAACTGTACATTAACTATTAGGGTTTTTTTTTTTTCTAGACCAAATTTTCTACATATATTGTTGACTTATTTAGAAGTTCAAACGTGGAAAAACATTAAATGAATATATTATATTTTTTTAGAATTATTAAAAAAATAAAATTAAAACACCAATATAACCTTAGAACCCTAACTACATAACTACATAATAATAACTACATAATAAAAACGTCTTGATGCTCTATCCATGCATCTTTAATGATAACCAAAAAATTGAGACCGAACCAATCGAGTGTTCAATCTCGATCAAAGTTTTTGGTCCATCAAAACATGGGACTGACATACCTTTTACCACCACTTCTAATTCTACATTAATATTTGATTTTGATTAAACTAATTGGAGTGCTCAAATTCGACCCAACGACCAATCACACACAGGAACACGAATCAAAAAGCGGCCACACCCGCGAACCACATGCGTGCAAAGCAAGTCCTCGCAACGGCAAAAAGGGGGAGGACGGTTGAGAGCGAAGCCAAAGGCACAATGGGCGCCCGTCGTAGGAGGCGCCACCTGTTTGCCACCGTTGATTGCTTCCTCCTTCGCCGCGCCCACAAATCCCACCCCGCCTTTCCATCTCCTCGAGGCTGTAATCGGTACTTTCACCTTTAGATTTCCAGGTTTCGTACCAAGTAAACAATTAGCCACATTCCATGGCACCAAACTTTCTTGGTTCCTAGATTTGACTATATAGTTTGGACCAGCAGTTGAAGTGGTATCCAATAACTTCTCTTCTTCCCCTATCGATCCCTCCTGCCTCAACCAGCACACCATGGTATGTATCCACTTCTCTCTCCCCCCTTCTCTTTTTCGCTGTGGACGCATGTAATGGGTTTGCATGGTTGGGAACATGCAGTCGTTGACGCCACTGCTTGTCAAGTCGCTGGTGAGGCTGGTGGGGCTGTTGGTGAGCCGGCCGGCGGTGTCGGTGACGACGATACTCTACCACAGCGACGCGCTGCCGAGGAACCCCGGCCTGCAGCGGCTCGTCCGCGACGAGCTACTCGACGATGAGAACTACCTGTTCCACTTCCTCATCAGCATGCTCAAATGCTTCTGGTAGATCGCGCGTCCAATTCTTGACCACCACATTCTTATTACCTTTCCATTACTACTGTTCATCAGCAGCCATTTTAATCGGTAGCTTCTTCCTTAATCCTCATGGTGTTCATCGACTCCCCATCTCCATCTCTCTCTCTCTCTCGATTTCTGGTTGAAGATAAACAATGGGCGATAGATCTGAGTGCAGTACATGAAATTACATGGGCAGACTTAAAAATGATGGTGGAAGAAACCATTAAATATAGTGTCAGCCGATGTGTTTCATGTTGCAAGTGCATGTGATGATGATGTTGATGATACGGGACTAACAGTAAGTGCGGCTGATGGAGCTTTTATCTCTTGCGTAGCTCAAACTTCAGTTAGCTTTCCCAACCATCCTCACTAGGTCAGGTGACGAGGTGGGGAAGACGAACGCCACCGCAAACTCTCTCGAGACTGCACACCGTCACGTGCATCATGCTCGTTCTTGTTTTCTGGTAGTTTGTGTTGTCGTCGGCTCTTCTCTCCAAAGAAGTCTCTTCTAACATCTCCATATCTAATTTTCTTCTTTTCTACAACTCAAACTCTAAAATATATATGGTAATTAAATTAAAATTAATTCTTAATTTCTAAAGGGTTTTTTTCTTAAACTATATTTCTTTACAGATATGAATGACGAAAAAATAATTCATCTAAAACAAGATGTCAATGTATATATATATATATATATATATATATATATATATATATATAAACACCGAA